ACACTCACCACAGTGAAAGCCTCTCCTAGCAGAAATAAAATAGTGCAGAGGGGAGGTTGAACAACAACCTAAAATAAGCTCTTCTACTTTATACACATCCTGATTACAGACAGTGTTTGTATTTCTGCTCTCGGGATACTCTCACCAGCACAAACTTCACACTTTTACAGAGAAACTTTCCTAAGGCTTCTGTTTGCCARCTGTATATAGAGACAGATACACATATATATATAGATATATGTAAAATGGAAAAAAAAAAAAGAAGAAGCCTTTAAAGGAAATGCATTAAATGTGTTCACAGAAAGAAAAATAAATCATATTCTTACTATGGCTACATAAGAAATGTCTTACCTTAATGTTTTTAAACTCCTTTTTCCAGGGGTACAGAAAGAGATTAATTCCAACTGTCTCGAGCATGTTGAACGCATTATGGAGACAATGTAAACTTGAGGATTTCACAGATCTCAGGGAGTTTTCAGCCATCTCGTAAAATTTGATCAACCGGAATCTATAAAAGGGATCAATTTTGGGAAGGCAAAGTAAGGCTGCCGCCGCCACTCGCAAGTACTCATCGTTAATAGGACGCTGCTTGTTCTCAGAGGCATTCAGTTTGCATTCGTGGAACTGTACATACTTCCGAAATAAATCGTCTTTATATTTTGTATCCATTGAAATCAGTTTTTCCCTCGCGCTGGGGGCAGCTACCTCATGTCTTTCATGGTTATTTGGCAGCAGGTCGGGTATCTGGCATTAAGAATCTCCAGCAATGCAAGTGTCCTGGAACAAAAAGTGAAAACAAAGACAAGTCACCCCAGGTGAACACATCCCAGATGTCCTCAGCACCTCCCTGCCCCTTGGGAGAGCCAGCTCCCAGAGCAGCAGCTCCCTCCGAGCCTCTGCAGGACTCTGAAAAAGCACAGAAATGCCACTGTCCTGCTTCCCACTGCCACTGCCCCCTTGTTTGCCAGGTCCCTGCCCAAATCAGCACCATGAGCTGACACTGAACTGAGAGCTTGGAACAGACTCCAGCCTGCACTGAGGCTTCCCTGCAACTCACTGCAAAAAACTGCAACGAGAAAGAGGAGTTTTTATAGTCTCTTCTTCGTATTTTATTTTGGCCTTTCAGCTCACCCAACTTACACAAACATTATTTCAAACAGCCGCTGGCGGGGATTTTGCCCTTATTTTTTCACCCCTGCACAGTAACATAAMGATTTTAAAAAGTCCCACAGAAGTTTCATTTTGCTCATCTAGTGAAAGCAYCTGCTTTTTGCTCCCCTTCCTGTGGCACAGGACTGTCCCTAGGCTGRGCAGATTTACTGACTTTGTCTTTGGATTKYYAACATTTTCTATCTTTTGACAGRCAYTGAYATTSCTCCTGTGCTGGGGCAGCTCTGCAGCCACCCCAGAGGAGCCACCCCCGACTGCTGCAAACCACAGCCCAAATTCCATCTCAGTGCTGGCACCTACAAACATGACTGGGATCTTTTTGGCAAAAAGCCTACACCTGCCACCTTCAGCTGCTTTATGGGAACTGAGTAAAACCGTTTTTGTGTTTCCATCATGTATGCTTTTGTTTGCAGGGATAGTTGTTTTTATGGATATGCTGATCTACATTTTCACTGCATTGAGCTGAATTTGATGGTGACAAAAGAATCTTCCAAATGCTGCTTTACCAGCACCAAGGTAATTAACAGCCAGCAGACTCCATCTGGAATGCCTGAGGAACTTGTGATCAAAAAGCAGACTACAGTTTTTTGGTTTTTATATAAAAAGACAAACCAGCTCTTGACCCAAGAGGAGATGGGAGAAATCAGTGCACTGTTTAAGATGCAGTCAGTCTCWATCAGCACTTCAAAATAAACTTTTCACCCAGCATTAATTGCAGCTACTAGAACACTGATCAACACTCCCGTTAAAGGGAAATCACTGTTAAAAGCAAGATCAACTGAATGAAAGAAGCCAAAACACAAAATACCCACAGCCAAGAGGTCAGAGAAACAAACAACAAAACCAGTTGGCAGTTGGCATTCCTKGATGAAGGGCTGTGCTCAGTGCCAGCCCCTTGTGGGGAAAGTTAAGCAGTTCTGCTTCAAGGCACACGCGCTCCTGTCAAGAGACAGACTGTGAATCACAGGAAATGTGGAGTGCTAAATTAACATCTGAGCAGAAGGGCCAGGAGCAGTCCCTTCCCTCTCCTCGTTCCTCCGCAAGTTGKGCAGGATGAAGGCTGTGGATGAAGACAGCAGAGTCTGTTCCTTGGCAGGAAGAGCTGCACTGGAGAATTGCAGGGAGAGATCTGTGTCTGACACATCAGCAAAACACCCCCAG